CGAGGGAGCCGGCATGGCGGCCGGGAGCAAAGGTGGGCCTGGGGTGTCGCCTGCGCGCACCTGCCGGGGTGGCCATGTCCGCCCCCCGGGCTCGGGCTGGGCTGGGCTGACACACGTGTGAATGGGGCGAGGCCGGCGCTTGTCTTTGGGAAGCGCAGCGAGAGCGGCCGGGCTGCAGGGCGGGCTGTGCCCCCGCCGCCCCCCGCCGCGGAGACCAACTGGAATTGCGTGTTTTAAGAAAAAGGGAGGGAAAATATTTTAAGAGGATATTTTTAGGAAAAGGGAGATTTTAAGAGCATATTTTAAGACAAGGAATAAACGATTTTAATAGGATGCTTTAAGGAATAGGGAAAACATATTTTAAGGGGATATTGTAAGAAAAAGGAACAAAAGACATTCCCGGAAGAGCTTCAGTCAGAGTTGTCAACTCTGGCTCCGAAATGCCCGTGCGCCGAACAGGTCGCCTTGACGACTGAGCAGTTCTAATTTAAGTTTAGGATTTATTTAAAAACACGAAAAGAAAAGAAAGCTTTTATCCCATGATCCCACTTAATTTTTTTTTATTCAGTCTAAATGTGCAGAGCACAGATTAAAACTAATTAAAAACCTGTAAAATGGTTTATTAAGCAAAATAATAGCTGGCAGTTACTTATGTGGCAACCGCGATGGAGCCTTGATGATGTCCCTTTAATTCTTAGTGTCATGCTGTAAAAACATCCTGCTCCACTTGCTGTTTTTGTGCACAGCTGTTGAGTTAAGGGTGCATCAGTTTGTAAATTTGAGCCGTAGCTCTGAATTAGATTATTTTTATGTGGGCATTTTTCTGAATTGAATATGTATTTAGCTGTGTAGCTCAACCTCCTGATACAAACTTGATGCAGGATTTATGGGACAAAATGGCTCCCTGGATACTTATTTATTTGTATGCCCATCGAACTCATTTAAATTAAAATGTAAAATAGTAAAACAATTCAGTTGTACCTCTCTGTAAGGTCACAGCTCTGGAAATAGCCCACTGTACCATGGAGGTAGTCCATAAAGATTCTTGTACACCCTGTTTTCCATGGAATGCATGGCATCTTTTTTTTTTTTTTTCTCAAAGCCAAGTCTTTTAAACAAATTGACAAATGAGACTTAATCTAGCCATTTGTGAACCAGTACTGTGTAGTAGCAGAATATTATGATAAAGAGAGGATGAATTTTATGGTGATATTGCAGGGTGCTACTTGTGCTTTGCATGTCATCAGTAGAAAACAAGGGGAACTAGAACTGCTTCTAAACCTTAGATAAAAAATTTTAAACCTGGTGTCTTAATAGTTGGGGTCTAATAATCTATAACATGGTTATGAATGCCAGCTCCGATGGAATTCACGAGGAGCTACATGTAAGAACATACAAATTCCTGCACAAGGTCAGTCCAAAGGGCCATCTTGCTCAGGACCTTGTCTGCAACTGTGGCAAGTAGCTCCATAAAAGACAGCATAAGAAACAGGATATGCGTAGGGTGATAACCTTCCAACTACCAGGAGTCATAGGGTTTAGGTTCCATCCCTTGTGTTTAATAGCATTGGATAGACCTGTCCTTAAAATTGGCTGGTCCCTTTTTAAACCTGATTATTGAGTTGATCTTCATAATGTGCTATGGCAGTGAGCTCCAGAAGTTTATAGGATCATAGGAAAGTAGGGCTGGAAGGGACCTAATGAATCCTCTAGTTCAGGCGCTTGTTAAGGCAGTTTCGTCCCTGACTTAACTAGACAATGTGTCTGTCCAACCTGCTCTGGAACATTTCTGAGGATGGAGATCCCGCAGTTTTTCTAGGTAGCCTGTTCCAGTACTTGTGTCAAGAACGCTCCCCCCCCCCAAAAAAAAAAATAAAACCCAACCAAACAACCCCATACAAACCCCAAAACAAAAAAAACCCAAACCCTTCCTTTTGTTTGTTTTAACCCTGCTGCCTGACCATTTCACCGGATGGGCACATAGATCTTTTGTGTGCTCCACACCTTTGAATGTCAGGCTACTTTGATATGTAAATATGGTGTTAGATGTCTAGCTTTTGGCACTACTGAGGTTAAAAAATACTGGCATTTTTAATTGTGTGAATGCTCTGTGTATCCTAGTAAGTGAGAGAATCTAGTAAATATGGAAAGATAGGGTTTTGTGCTTCTGTTTCAATTATTACAAAATGCTGATGCCACATTGTTAACTTCTGCAGTTTTGCTGTCCTTTCAATTGCTGATACGTTGGAGAATGTCTTTTTGCCAAATATGCAGCCGCGAACCCCATTTTTCACTTTAGGTTGTATTGAATCCAACTGTGACTTCCTGCGGTGAAACCGACTGGGAGTGATGCAGAGCCACTGGTTAGGATGTGAGCTTGTGACTGCAAAAAGAACAATTTTAGTTTTATGTGGGTTAAGGAAGTGTGCGGGAGCAATTCTTGATCTTAACCTTTTAAGACTCTCACCAGAAAACAGAAGCTTAAAGTTGGGGTTGCTGGCATGAATCTCTAATCTTTTCCAATCCTATAGGCTTCTCAGCATGAGAAACTATTACTGCAATCAGTGAGAGATTTTTACATTTAAAAAAATGGCAGGAGCAAACATAACTAAGCAACGTTCATTTTTTCACATTCCTGAAGCGTAGACCTTAAGAGCAACACCAAAAGTCATGAGAGTTGGCAACACTGAAATTTAGGGTTTGGAGTATTTTGTGAGAAGAAAGGCTTTTGATGTCAGCATGAATGTCTTAGCTGCTGCTACTGCTGTCTTTGCTGTTTGAGTGAAGTTCCTTCTAAGCGCATTTGTTAGTGGAGCTCCACGGAGTCCAGGAAAAGTGGAAGCAAGACCATTTTAGACTTCATAGGTATAAGCACTACCTTTTTGCACCCAGCAGTGAATTGGTGTGAGGGACACAGGACTGAGAATAGGTGCTAAGTGCTCTTTTTACTCCATTTGGTTTATCCAAAAGTTACACAGTCTCTTTTTGCATTAACTGAAGGTACAACATGGCCACCGTATTTTATCCTCTATACTGTGCGTTGCACTAATCTTATCTTGCAGAAACAAAGTCATGAATTTAACAGCAGATTGCACCCAAAAAAATCATGGTGGACCTTCAGATTCAACTGGACATGTATAAAATATACTACATACTTCCTATTCTCATCTGGAACCCAGCATTTTATACCTTAAGTTGGAGTGCTGTGGACTTATTTCAAAGCTATTATTCTTTTAAAAGAGAAATTAACAAGATGCTTCTTCAATAACTCATGTATCAGTCATGGTATTCACTGTGGTAATTATCATCCATCAGCATCCACTTTCCTCTCTGTGGCTTACAAGGTTTAACTTGCAAGCTTTTAAAGAGCAGGGCTGCTTAGTGTTTTATTTGACTGTTAAGTTGTACACTTATAAATTACATTGATGCTGCTACACCAATGATGCATCACATCCATACTAACTTGGTTTTGGATTTCTAGATTGCATTTGTTATCCTATCTTCATGTTTGGCTGTTTACCCTTACCGTGAAGTACATTTTTATGCACAGCTAGACACAATTTCACCTGTATGTCATTGTCATGCAGCATGACAAATCTGTTTGTAAAATGAATAGTTACTGTGGTTGCAGAGAAGTGAAAAACATGACCTGAGTGTACTGCAGATTCAAAACCCAAGCAGCAAATACAATGAAAGCCACATTTTATTATTATATTTAATATAATGATTTTTGAACCAATCGAGACAATTTTATGCATTCCTATTTTCTGTAGCTTGACGTATGATTTTTAAAACCATGGGATTGGCAATACTAAACTGCAGATCTGTCTAGATGTCTTAATATATGGGAAGGCACAGTTAGAGTACTTCCATAAACTCTGTTCCTGTCTTGGCACTTTGCCATAACTATACGAGTACAACTCAAATGCTTCAGCATTTGTAATCCTGAAATGAACTCATCTGAACTATGTCTAGATAGTACATTTGCCGGGTCTGTCTACGGTGCCCTCAGACATTGAGAGGTGACTTCTCTAACCAGAATGGGTTTAGTCATATCTGTGTAATGGTGAGTGTGGGCTGATTTGAGTGACTGTGCCAACTATCCTGCCCAAGATGGATGCACCTGCAGTGCTTTTAATTCAAGGCTCGCATGTGTGGAACTACATAGCACGCTGGGGAGTGCTGCTTCCAGGAATGCTAAGTTTGTGGTCTAGATATGCTCTTTACATTTTTTTTTATTATTCATGTCATCCTGACTAGGAGAAGCTTGTGGCCTCCGTCCCATTGAGATTTAGGGAGACAGATGCTCTCATCAAAAAGGCAACCTGGCTTTGGATAAATTATGACCTCAATCCCATTGGAAACAATGAGGTGTTTCAGCCATTTAGGAAGAAAGCATTGTATGTGCCCCCCGTATTAACCGCAGCTCCATCCCACACCCCACCCTGCCTGTGCAGCATCTGCCCCCGCCCCAGCCTTACTCCCTCTGTCACTGTGGGGGCCTTGATCTGCCCCCCAAACCTCTTCCCTCCCCACTCGCCTCTTCCCCCACAACAGACTTACCAGCCAGGCACTGCTCTCCATGCTGCGGGGCCACATATTGGCAATCAAATCGGTATCGGCTGATATGGCTCATTAGAAACTGGCTGTCAGTATCAGCCCAAAAAATGGTTATTGGTGCACCCCTAATTTTTGATCGCTATAGAACAAGCAAACCTGTTGAGGCATGTAGTTAAAATGTAAGGCAAGCTTATCAATATGCATGCCAGTAAATTAAGAAACCTGTCTTGAATTCGAAACTAACTGACCTTTTAGGAAGGAATCTGAAAATTGTCTTGTGACCTAAACTTTCAGGATAGTAGAGGAAGATGCTTCCAGTGTCAACTGATACTTGCTTTTGCTGAACCTGACGCAAACAGAAGTTTTGTCAGTACGTAACCTTTCATCTAAATACATCTTTAAAGGCCCTGTCATAGTTTTCAGGGAATGTAAATAACATTTATGTTAAATCATCCCTCCTTTAGAAACGAATTCTCCACATATAGGACTATCAACATCATTTTGATCAGTCTCAAATCAGTTCATGTTTGACAAGAAGCCAAAACAGAGCATTTTCTTCCCTCGTTTCTACCTCTGTTCTAATTTTTTTCCTTTGTTGCGACCTTGCCCATGCAAGACACTTTCACAGCCTCCATCATGTCCCTACACCACTCTCATGCAGGCCTCAGTCCAAGCTGCTTTTCTGTTTAAGAAACTCCACTCTCTCCTTAGCCCATCATAACTCCATCTACTCCGTCATATCCCTGCTGATAAAACAGCTCTTCAGGTAATCCTATAACCCCAGGTTGCACACTTGCATCTGCTCCTCTGAACTTGCTGAAAAAGATTTTGGGGTATTTTCTTCCTTGTCCATTGCTAGTACACACTGCATAGTTATTTTCCTCTAGATCCCACTCCCACCCACATGTTCAGACCTATGTGACCTCTCCCTCCAAATGTTTTGCCTTTGTTGTTCCCTTTGTTTCTTTATCCTCCTCACTTCCCCGCCCCGGCCCCCACCATGCCTACACTCCTCAAAGTTGCATCTTGTAGGAATTTGCATGCGCATGTCAGTGATTCAGCTGAAGTTCATTTATTCCATCCAAAGGCCAGTAGCAGTCACTTTGAACGTACCAACTCCTGTAGCAAAACAGCAGCTGGATATGAGTTGGCAGTGCTTAGTAATGACAGCACCCACACAATGAAATGGTTAAAAGCATTGAGCAGGGACTTACAGTAAGGCTCATCCTGGTAATGCTCACCATGGCATGGCTCTAACTCTATTTCACTGGCATTGGCAAAGGACCCATTTCTCTTGTCTTATTTTTACCATCCCCTCCCCGCAAACTTCTCACTATATCACCTTCTCCTGACTTCCAGAGACTCAACAGATCTAGCCCCAAACTTCTGCATACACCTTATATTTTTCCTAAAACAGGGAAACCTCAGCCTCTCTCTGTTCATCCTTGGTCCAGTTTTGGCAGGTTTCCTGGTCTCTGCCTCATTTCTTCCTTTGTTTAACCTATCTATAGTTCTTTGTCTAAACTTCTGCATGTGGCAACATAGGCATTTAGAAAAATCTCCCTCTCCTTGTGTGTCTGTGCTTAAACCAGGAATCCCTGGAAGATGGTCATGCTCGTACCTGATATAATACAACATCCCATTAATCTAGCTGGATTGTTAATGCTTGCGCAGGCAAGGCCTATATCTTTCCAAACAGGGCAGAGGAAGGCAGGAGCTGGGGAGTGACTGGAGTTTGATTCAGTCCCTTCTCTGCATGGAGACAGAAACCCCAGAGTAACAGTGGCAGATAAGAGCTGGAGAAAAGAAACTAACTGGTAAGGAAATATTTTCTTTCCTTTCCTCTGCTCAATCCATTTGCTCCATCTCCGTTTCCCCCACATACCACACAGAGCAGACACCTTAAACTTGGTCCTCTCCTTCCTCTTTCCCCTCCCAACCATTGCCATTTTGGCAGGAGCTAGGGAGAGCAGAAGCAATGGTCAGTAATTACATCCTCCTTTACTTGGATACGACCATTTTCAGGTTGATGCATCCCACCATATAATGCTGGGCTTTGAAGAAGCAGATACCTTGCCTGGGTTTGTCTTCTACTTGCCTACTTCCGTCTGCCCCCCACCTCATTCCTCTGCCCTATGCCCTCTTCTTGCTTTATTCATCCTACTTCTATCCCCAGCCTAAAGGCAGGGTAAGTCATGTTGTTAGCAATTCCTGATTATTATCATGATGGTTTTACGTAGATTCTAACATTTAGCCTATTCTTATATCACCTTTACTCATCTATCTACTGTGATCACATATCAGAAAAGATTGGAAACTTTTAAGAGCGTATACTGTTCTTTTCATACTTGCACGGAGTATGATCGAGCCCCGGTCCTGGTTTGAGGACTATACCAGTGTTGCCAACTGTCATGATTATTGGCGTTGTTCTAAAGTCTACCATTTGGGAATGTGAACAACTTAGCTCTTTCTTTTATATATATATGTATGCATAAAAGAAATAGCTACATTTTTCACGTTTCTGAAGCTTAGACGTTAAGAACAGTGCCAAAAATCATGAGATGGCAACACTGCTATACTGTAAAAACATTTCCCCCTATTTTTCAGATGAGGAAATGGAGGCACATATGGTGGCATACCTGAGTTTATACAAGGAGCTAAAGTTAGAGTAGAGCTCAAGTTAGAGCCCAGTTCACTAGGCTTCCCAAACCAACTCTAAGTATGAAATAGTTCTGCTTGCAGTAGGGTTGAAGTGATGCTGTAGCCAAGATGGTCCAGGAAATGTAAAGCAAGGATTTATAATCTAAAGAAGAATGCAATTGATTTGAAAGCTTGTGTGCCCCAGCCATGCAGTTGGTTCAGTGAAGGATATCGCCCACATAGATCCTTGCCTCCGCTGGCCTCTGCTTGCAGTAATAATTATTAGCAGTTAGAGTCCTTACATGACTAGAACTCCAAGCTGTGTAAAAGAAACAGGCACTTCTCATTCCTAGAAAGGATACATTGTCAAGGATTTTAACATCAATTAGAAGGCTAGTGCAATAAGCTTTGCTTTGAATTGTTAAGATAAGCTGTAGCTTTAATATCAACAGGGCCAGGAGAGAGGGTGGAAGAACACTGTCTATGGAATTGCCTCCAACTTTATTCCTTTCTTTAAGTAAACTATTTTTATTTGCTTGGAGTCACCGCAGCTGTGCGCCGCCAACAACAACAAATATCCGCAAAGGTTTCTTCAAATAAATGGGTTTGGATAAGGACTAATCTAATTCTCTAGACTTGTTTCCTCAGACCTTCCTTAACATTGCATGTGTATGACAGGGAACTGTGCTGTGCTTCTGCAAGGCCAAGACATGTGACGTGTTTGTGGACTGTGACCTGCTCCAGAATGTCCAGGGCTTCTCCCTTGTGATGCGATAGAATTCCCAGAGCCCCTCTGCCAATCGCAGTGCTGCGGGCCAGGAAACGAGGACCGCTGGGTACTGGGACCTCATTTCAACATTGCTACCAGAAGTGGCTGTAAAAGCGGGCGAGTTCAGCTCGGTGAGAAACAGCACCTCCATGCCTCAGGATGAGGAGGGCCCAGAGATGGCCTGTGTCTCAAATGGCCCACCAGAAACTGAATTAGGAACGGGAGACCTAGCAGATCTCTGTAAGGCCTTGGAGAAGCTCCATGAGCTCCCTGCAGGGGAGAAGGGTGAGAAGGCTTTTCTACGCTCCCGCCTCCATGAGCAGTCTCAGCTCATCTGCATACTAAAGAAACGAGGCGATGAAGCCCAAATGCGTTGCAAGGCACTGGAACAGCTCAATGTGGAACTGGAGGAGCTGAGGATGAAGGATGCTGCAAACCTGAAAAGCCAGACCCAGCGGGCTCAACAGCTGGAGGAGCGCTTTATGGACCTGGCTGCCAACCACGAGGACATGATCTACTTCAAGGATGAGCACAAGCGACAGAACATGCAGCTGAGGGAGGAAAATAAGCGTCTCAGAGAGGAGAACCAGAGTCTCTTCAGCCAGGCCCTTAGGGAGAAGGAGGCTGAGATACTTCAGCTAGCTTCCCAGGAGAAGATGGTCTCTCGAGAACTGGGTGCCTTAAAGGAGACCTGGGCTCAAGAGAGAGAGCGAGCTCGGGAGCGAGAGAAGGAGCTGCTTGAAGTTCAGAGCCAACAAGCCAGTGATCATGCCAGGGAAGTTCATTCACTGAGAAGCCAGGTACAAACCCTGGAGAAGTACCAGCAAGTGATTGCACAGCTGGAGCAGGCAGAAAAGCAGCAAAGAGTTGAGGGCAATGAGTTGCAGGCCAAGCTGGACAGGGTGAGCCGGGAGAAGGAGGAAATCTTGCTTTTGGCCATGGACAGGGGCAAAATGCTGCAGGAGAAGCAACGGGAGGTCCAGCAGCTGGAGAAGAAGTTGGAGGCTGCAGAGAAGGCTAAGCAAATTGCAGACGAGCGCTTTGAGAGGCAAGCAGCAGTAGCAGATAGCGGGGTGAGGGTCCAGGAGCTGCAGCGGTGGCTGGAGAGAAGTGAGCAGGCATATAATGAGCTGCGGATGCAGTTTGAAGCTTACAAGAAACACAGCATGGACTTGCTCACTAAAGAAAAAAAGCTGAATACCAAACTCCGCCACTTAGCTGCATGATCCTCACACCTCCATTCCTCACCCAGTTCTCAGCAGAAATATCTACTGCTCCAGGTTTTTTTTTTGTGATCTTACCTGATTTCTGATTACTGTGCCTGCTGTCTTAACAATGGGCTGGTTTGTAGCTCACTTCTAGTATGCTTCCATGCTACATATTGGACATCTCAGTCTAGATGTGGCACTCTGAACCAGTAAAACAATTTATACTAAATAAACCAGGAACCTAAGAGTGGAAGGTTTGTAAGTATGACTTGGATTCTTCTTTGGTCCTGTCTCTTCTCATTGCTGCAGAACATTCAAACCGTGTTAGTTGCTTCCCTAAATGAAGGGCCGTTATGATGGCCCCAGAGAAAATGCAAGCAAGATTTGTTGAATATCTGATAATAGACAAAATGTTTGTATGTGGGAGAGATGTTGACCACCTATACACCTTATAAACCAGGGGTACACAACCCCAGCCAACAAGCCAGATCTATCCCCTGGTACCATGCAGTCAAGTCGTTGGAGCTCCCCACAGGTCCAGGGCCCCGCATGCTAGATCAGGTGCAAAGGGTAACATTGGGCCCCATCCTGGCACACAGAGGGTGGGCAGAAGTGGTGCAGGGCCAGACCCTGCCTGCAGACCAGTCCTATACCATTAATCTGGCTCAGGGACGTAAAAGATTGAGGCGTGATGGGCAGTTCTTGTTTAAACCATGCTTAATCCAGGCCGTGGATGATTTATTCTGCATTTTGCTAACCTCATGATTTTTGTTCTCAGGCAGCAAAATTTTGAAAACCTGCTTGGGAAATTGAGGAACAAGAAATCACAAACTGAATTGTCTGGAGAACCTGAGTGTGATGCTGGAGCAGATGCTCTCAGTTGGTTGTAGGGGACTTGATAGGAAGAGCACTGTTTTTGCTTTGACTGCCAGAGATTTGAGCTGGTTAGTTTGATTAGACAATACTTTCTCTTTTACAATACAGGCAACCAGTAATGCGTATTTTTGTGTGACTTGTTTTTGCTGCAATGGTAAACTGCTACAAGACAAAAGATGCAACTAAGACAAATGCCTGAATTTATTTTTGCTGACTTTAGGATTTTAAACACCTTCATCTGGCCTAAAGATTTTAATAGACCTTTTCCAAATGTGCTAGAGGAATAATTTGAAAACTGGTGTCCAATTTGTGTGATGCAGCTACTATTACAAAGCATCACCCAGCCATTTGAGGATTTTTTTATAAGGGCATACAAATGAGGCTAGTTTCTCAGTTGGAAGAAGCAGAAAACCAAGTCGATCTGCAATTAAAAATAAAAAATCCTCTTTCTATTATCCTAATGTTGCTCAAAATGAGTGAGAAACATGTTTGAATATTAAGGTGTACAACTTGAAATAGTCCCAAGTGTTACAGTGGAGCAACTAAATTCTGTTCTTTCATTGCAAACATCTTGCAAACTACAAGTTGAAGTACAGGCATGTAAGTGCCTAGAAAATGTATTAATGAAGAACTTTCTGCTATATGAATCACATCCTTTTCTTGTACTTAAAATGTTCTATGTTGTTTTTGAAAAAGTGAGCCCAATACAACAAAACAGCCTCAGTTCATTCCACTTGCACCAGCCCAAAGGTGTATTCTTGGCTAAGCTGTCCAGGAGGCACTCTGGATTGCAGGACCGAGAGCACATAGGTTTTTCCTATAATTCTGGCTATTCCACTTGTGCGGGAGGTGTGGAGCTGCCAGGGGTTGGTCCACTAGGATTTTATGAAAGTATTTGCATCATGCAGACACTTGGGTAGGTGAACTCTCACAATGTACTGAGTATGCATACGGTCCAAACCTTTTTTTTTTTTTTTTTAAACTGCAGAAGAATGCATGCAGTTGCCTAGGTTCCTGTCCTAACCTTGGTTGTCAGCAGGGGTAAGCTTTTGTTGTGTAACAATTACCACCTGGGCTTGATGGCTGCTCTTTTTAGTTAGGGGCTTAGCATTCTGGCACCCTCATTTGGAAAGTAGTTACCTCATCTTTGGCTATTCACATCTCAGTGCCAGGACACACTCAGGACATTTACTCTTTCTAAGCACCTGCTCTGACAGGAGAGCAGTATAGATCTGGGGTATATTCATGCTTGGGTTATATCTCTACTCATTTCCAAGCCTCACAGTTAGACAGAGTAGATCCTGTATATGGGCCCCAGAGACGGTCTTGGGGGCTCTGCCTCAATCCTAAGGTCAGTAAGGAGATGGTATAAAAAGCCCTTGGAGAAAACTAAGGAGCTGTGAAAGGTAAGGGGATGACTTCTGATCAGCAGGCAGGAGACTTCCAGAAGATTGAGGAACAAGTTTGGGAGAAACTTCCTGAGTAGCTGGAAAGAATGCTAAAGAAGGTATTTTCGGTGTTGGGGGCTCTGCCTCACTCCTAAACTCAGTAAGGAGATGGCCACACTGGTGAAGGACTCTTCTGAGGGGATGACTGCTTTTAGTGGCCTCTGTGATGTCACAGCCTAGCATGGAGGGGAGAATAATGACGGGGTGCGGGGGGGAGGGACGTGCATGGTTTTTCAGGAAAGATTTGAGCATGTGCACCTGAGATTCCCCCACCAATACCTCTAGACTAGTATCCATGAGGATGGCTTCCCCCTCCAGGCACACCCCAGCTGGGGACCGTGCAGGTCAGGGTCAGGGTTTAAACCCCTCCCTAATCATAGCCTCCTTCCAGGACCTTGCCCTGCCCCAGCCCTCCAGATCAGCATTGTGCAAGGGAAGGGGAGGCTCACCCTAAAGCCCCCTCGCTTCTAGCTTGAGCCACTACAAGCATGTGCCTGCATGATGTATCAAACGTGAATGTCTCTCCACTTTCAAATTGGTTCATTCTCTGCAGGTTAGACTAGCCTGCAAAGTTGGACTGTCCCTAGCCGAAAGGTATGAAACAACCCTGAGAAAGATGAAGGCTAAATATAAGAGGCATTGCGCAACTAGCTGAGCCGAGAAGGGAGACTGAGGTTCCCATGCCAATTTCAACTCCATTCTAGTAACTCCAGACCGACTTCTCTCACTGTCCTTGCTTATTCCATCACAACAAAGCAGACGCTGGTCCCACTTAAAACGCTGATAGTTTAGATTAACCGATGCATAAAATAAATGAAAACATTTCAGGATGGAAAGTTGTATTTTTGTTGTTCCGTGATATTTCATGGGAAGAGAGGAGCAGAGCGTCACTGGCATACTCTGGACAAACAGACTAAGTGGAAAATGATCCTAAGTCAGTGAATATCAGCTTCGTTCTTAGAATAGCTTGATCCTCACAACTTGTCAACAGGCGAAATAATTACTATACTTAAGCTGTGGTAAAAAAAGATAAATAAAGGTTTTTTTGGCATGTAACATTGAGCATGTACCTCATACTTTGAGTTGGGTGCAAAAACAGTATTTAAAAAGTGTTCCTGTTTTGTAACTGCATTAACAGGTACTTTTCCATGTATGGTATGCAAAATAGATGAGACTGCTTACGTTCAATCTGCAAGCCATCTTAAAAAAGGCTTGCTAAAGGAGGAGGAAAAAGTGTAAATGGAAGAATTCAAGACAGGGAAGAAGATGTGGTTTAGTACTCCCTTAAATGTTAACAAGGGTGAAAATTCTCTGTTTGGTCCTAATTCAATGTACTGCAAGTGTGTCCTCTGGCTCAGTGTAGTTAAAGCAAAGACATATATGATACGAATGTATGGAGGTGGGCTCTATTCTTCCATTCAAATGGGGTCAGACAAATTAAGCATCTTTCACGCTACGCTTTTGGAGCAGCAAATACTTAGCCATATACGTGGGATGCCTGGGTCATAAGTGAACTATGGACTACTCTCTCTACGCTGTGTTTGTGTGTTGGTATTTTTCCTCTTTAAAAAACAGGGCATAAATAAAAATGGCAAGTTATAATAGAAGATAGAAGATATTGTATTCAAAGACCATATCAATGCAAATCTTGACTTGCATTTATACTTACAACTCAATGTCTTTCCCGAAACCATAATAAAAGTGGTTTTATTATGGTATCCCCCTGAAAGCAGTTGAGAGGGTTGTCTAGTTGCCACATTTAATCTTTAAGATCTTTGTTAAGTTCACATATCTGCAACATTTTCTCATATGTCCTATGATGGGTGAAACCAAGGTAAGCTCCAGTCATGCCTTGTAGTACCATGGCAAGACTCATCTTTTTAAAGACTGGTCCAGAAGGGGCGAACCAGTAGCGCCATGTCTTCTGTTTCCCTGTCAAGGGAGTGGTCCTGTACGTAAATAAAGTGAGAAAGTTAGCAGTCTGTTACTTGACAATGTCAATAACACCATGTAGTAAATGTAAAGTGGCTGATAAAGTGACAGTTAAGAAAATGGTTAAAAGAAGTGGCAGCTCCCATCCCTATGCCCTCTAAAAAAAGTGGAGTGCACACTAGAATATTAGGTAGGAGAATGTTTTTAGCAAGTGGGAAGTAGTACTTGCTTCAATATTAGATGCACAGATTGATTTCATCATTTCCTTTAACAGTTGTCACATTTAGAAAGCATATTTGTGGTGTGCTTTACAAATAAGTCCTCAGAAATATTTTTCTCAGGTAGGGTAGACAAGGACAGAGAGACAAGATGGTCTGGAGTCACTAGAATAGAGTTAAAATTGGCATGCGAGCCTCAGTCTTCCCTGCTTGGCTCAGCTCATTGAGCAATGCCTCTTGTATTTAGCCTTCATCTTTCTCAGGGTCGTTTCATACCTTTCGGCTAGGGGCAGACGTTCATAAAGCTTGAGCCTGAATTGATTCAATCCTTGCAGGCTAATCTAACCTGCAGAGAATGAACTGATTTGTAAGTGGCTAGACATTCACTTTTGATTCAGGAAATGGAGGCTCATGCCTGCAGTGGCTCAAGCTAGAAGCAAAGGGCCTCTAGGGTGAGCCCTCCCTTCCCTTTAACAATGCTGAGCTGAGGGGGTGGGGCATGGCCAGGCCGTGGCAGGACACTATAATTAGGGAGGGGTTTAAATCCACACCCTGACCTGTACAGTCCCCAGCTGGGGCTTGCCTGGGGGGAGAAGCAAACCTTGCAGCTACCATTCTGAAATTGGACACACATCTGCCCCCAGCAGCAGCTAGCATGGGGATAGCATGACCATGACCAGCTGCTGGCTGGAGTCTGTGCTGCTGGGTTCCATGCTGTGGGAGAAGGTGGGGGGGAAGGGGCAGTGGGGAACCAGGTAGATGCTACTGTCCCTTGCCTGCTGTCTCCACCTCCTTTGCAGCTAGCCAGAACTCCAGCTAGGGAGGAGTGTAATGGGGCCTGCCCTGGTCTTTGGAGCACACAACCCAGCCTGGCTGAAAAGCATGCTGGAGGGCTGTGATTTATCTTAAACCAGCAAGGAGTCTGGAACAGACATTGTATAAACTGGTTTAACCTGAATCAGTTAAGTGTGATACTACATTCAACCAGGTTTATCTTAACCAGTTTCAGCTGTTTTGAAACTGGTTTATGTACACTGAACTTATGTTCTGTTACAGGTTTAAACCAGTTCCTGATCACTTAAACCGGTTTATTTGCAACTTGTGTCACAAGAAAAACTCATTCTACCACAGGGGCTTATAAACCCTTGCTCTGGAATCACACTATCTTAAATCCTTTTGGTTATTAAGAAGTCCAAAAGAGCCAATCATGCATTACTTGAAACCCTCTAGAGCAGTGGTTCTCAAACTTTTTCGACTCAAGGCACCCCTTGGCAAATGTCAGCTGTGAGCTTTCACTTGTGTTTTGACTACAGAAGAAAAACCAGAGCAATTCTTTGGTTGGAAAAACCTTAAAGTCCACAGCAGGTGAGAATGTTTTTGACACACTGGATTCCTATTTGAAATCTCTCGGTTAAGTTTGTGAATCACGATGAGAGAGGAAGTTAGCTGTGTTAGCCTGAAGACAAGCAGAATGCAGGGCAGATTGGCACCTTAATGAGTGAATTTTAAAGGTGGCACCCTGGACTGTTTTGCGAATTGTGTGTAGGTGGTTGTACACGTAACAGTGCTGATGTTAGGTGACACCCTTAAAAGGATCTGTTTGAGAATCACTGCTCTAGATTAACATTTTCTGAAACCTGACATCAGTTTCACTTATTTTAAATTCCTAAGACTTACCTTGCTGCAATGCTTTTATTTAAAGAGACAGCCAATGCAATGGGGTACATAGCACTTACAACAGACCCGATTAATCCTCCTCTGACTACAGCATCGGATGAGCAATTTAGATTGCCTGGATGACAAAGACATTTCCATATCAAGATGACGTATGACTAAATAAGGGCTGCCAGGCACTTTCATCCAGTCCGTGGCACTCCCCCAGAGAACTGTACCCTGCCGAGCCCTTCTGCCTGTGAAGATGGGAGCAAGGAGCCCATGCATTGCCACCAACACACACTATTGTACTTAGCTGCCACACACATGGGCGGAATGGCCCGGCCTGACCAGCAGCAGCTGCTGGGCAGGGCTTCTGCTGTACATGCTGCATCCACCCCATGGGAACTTGCACAGCTTCCCCGGTACCCAGCTCGCTCCAGGGAGAAGGTAGGGAAGTGGGGGGGCTGGGGCGGAGCTTCCGTTGCAGCTGGACAGAAACATGGAGCAGTGCAAAGCTCATACTCAGAAGAATGGCAAGAGCATGGAGGAGGTAGGGACCAGCAGCAGGCAGGGATGCTCCTGCCAGGCACAGGTACTGGTGCTTGGCAGCGTGGAGCTCCAGCCACTGCCAGGTGCTGGGGAAGGAGTGCAGCCTGTCTGGCCTGCCTTTATTGCAGGGGCTCTGTGTGGTGTGCCTGCAGCTTGCACACTCGCACCAGAGGAAGCCCCACGCTGGAGCCAGCTGCCTTCCCTGCCCCTGCTATGCAGGTCCCTGGGCTCCTTGGGAGTGAAGGGAGCCCTAAGCCCCGCTTCCCCACAGAGTCCAGCACGGGGCTTCCCTCGTTGTAAGCGCAGGAGCTGCAGGCATGCCGTGTACAACCCCTATGATAGAGGTGGGCCACGTAGGTTGTGCTTCTCACTCCCATGAACAGTGCTGGCTGGAACCGCAGCCCGCTGGGTACCAGCACCTCTGCCAGGCATGAGCACCCCCATTTGCTGCTGCTGTCAACAGCAGGGGCTGCATTCCATGGAGGGAGTGTGTGTGCAGGGTCTCCCCACCCTCCCTCCACAACTCCTACCAACATAGACACACATCCCAAGAGACTCTATGCCCACCACACAGCCACACCCCCTTCACAGCCCTCCACACCCCACCATATACGCACAATATACAAGAGTAAGACTTCATTTCTGAGAATTTATGCAATCCCTTTTATATACAGTACACAAACACAAATCATGACAAATACATTTTGGAATAAAATTAAAATGTGTTATAGTCTGTTTCACTTTTAGTGTATGATTTGGTTTTTTACTCATTCTAAGATGGACCCCCTTCCCAAAACAAGTATTTCTGCGGGGCAAGGGGAGGGACTTCTAGTGGCAAAGCTCAGGGGTTAGAGGATGGAATTTCCTGTCCCAATATGGTAACCCGGGGTGGGGCAACTTGGGGGGTGGGGCTACTCATGTGGTCCTTGACAGCTCACCAAGACTTGCTAAGTGACCCTCCAGCCAAAATAATTGCCCGCCCCGGTCTAATTTATATTCTAACGTAAATTAAAGGGGCAGGCTCAATGAAGGGCAACCATTAGCATCATTTCAGCTGAGTATTAAATAACCTAAAAAAGTAGGTTACCTCTTCTGTTGAGATGCTCTGCCATTCAGCTACCTACATGGCTTAATAAAAAGTCATGTAATTTGGATTGCTGTATCACTGCACTCTTCATGACCTTAACATACTGAAATGCAGCCAAGTATCAATTTTAAATAGCCTGATACCAGGATATTTTCAGATGGATCCATTTACAAGCTCTAAGTCAGAAAAAATGTGTCCTATGAATAGTGAGACAAAACCCTAGGCTGTTGGGGTGCTCCCAGAGATGCACCCTCATCACAGTTCCTGTGATAATCTCCCAGGATCAACCTCCTCTCAGTCACAGCCAGCTCCTTCCACTTGGGACCTCCATTTCCCCTCTCCTCACTGGAAGCCTCCTCTCTAGCCACCCCAGAAGGGTCACTGCCTGCAGCACATTCCACACAGCCTCCCCTGCCCCCAACTTTCAGAGTAGCCAGGGAATCCTTCAGAGCATTTCTGTTTGTGCATGCCTGACAGACACCCTCTTCCATTCAGCTTAAAGAATAAGTTGCTTGCTTCAGGCCTTGCTCTAGCACCTCCACCCTGCTCCTCATACAATGCAAGGTTTTTAACACTTCAGGAGTTCACCGTTTTACCAAGAGCATGAACTTTTCAGCAGCGAACTCACTGACAACTGTATGTAATTTCATGTAGGAAACATCACAACAATGCCCATGATAAGACTGAGCAACAAGCTTACCGGTCAGTAAAGGCTGGACAAGAAGCCAGTTGTAACCTATGGTTGTTGTGATTAATGGGAAGAAAGTCATTGACAATGTAGATGTTATGCCAGCCTGTGAGATATTTAGGAGGCGCCTGAATGAGTTGTTTGCTGCTAAGCCATATAAGGTTGCATTTAGTCCAAGGAATACTGAGGCATATTTCATATATTTCCTGTGGAAAAGAGAAAAGTTAATTTGTAGAGCTGTGCACTGGAGATGAAGGTTGGCTTCTCAGTACTATTACTACAATGAACCATTCAAGGAACAGGAGCTAGATAATTTCACAAGAGGACAGAATCTCATGCTTTAGAAACTACCATGACAATGGTAAGACTCACAACTGAACAACAGTTTGTATGCATGTCAGAGTAGAGTATATGGACACACACAAGTAGTTGCAGGTTGATGGATGTGGCCCATTTGCAGACCAAGAACGAATTTTTGAGGAGTAAGAATCTAAGCTGGTACTGGAACGAAATGTTCCTGAAACAGTCATCTGTATTAACTAAAGAAAAGGTGTCCCAACAATTACCTTCTAAAGAAAGGGATGCAGGGAGGAAGAAAGAAGGTACACCTAATATCATGCTAACCCCTGGTCCAGGTGCAAAGACCTCATACCTAAAACTTTCTCAAAGCTTAGACTGGAATTTAATTACCCCTGACTAAACAGCAAAAGCTAACCCAGTTTGGCGATACAGGGTTTGTATATTTTGAGTCACGCTTTCATACCTATGCTAAAAGGTACATCCAACTTGTTTAACCATGGCCAATGCCTTCAGTCTTTATGTAGAACTCTACTGAAAAGTGAGGTGGCATAATAAAAAAGAATGAGATAAAGATACAAATAATTGATATTGCAACATGTACCAGGGTCTGTCTGAACAGATAAAATACAGTCCTTGCCTCAGAACTGACACTCTAAATAGCAGAGAGAGACAGATGAAATATCAAAGGTCACATCTTGATTTCTACTCTAAAACCACATACAGGTAACTAGGCTTGGGGACAGTCCCATTCAATTCACTGGGGTTATGAAGGGCAATGAGGCATCATTTATGAAATCAGTGTGTTTGCAAGGTGAAGGGATTTATTAGGTCCCGCCCCACCTTCCATCCTACCCAAAATTAGCCCTTTGCCCCTTGTTCCAACCTGTTTTGATACTGCTGATCCAAGAGGCATAAGTTTAGTAAACAAAAACAAGTGAAGACTGATTAAAGAAGGTTGTCAGAGATTATGATAAGAGACAAGTATTAACAGGTGTTACCAAGAATGACATCTGAACTGAAGCAACAGGGTAACTGCTTAAGTTCTACATCCTTACCTTCAATCCTTTCTCTTGTTTCCCTACTTCCTATGTTGCAACACTAAATTGAATGTAGAACTGCCCTAGCCACTGAGCTATCCAATCAGTCTCTCTCAGAGCTCTTCTGCTCTGTGTCAACAGGTGATTTTGAGCAAAAGTGCTGTGGCACCTTGAGGTGCCTTGAGCAACGTTAGCACTGCTGCATAAGCAAACGTGCTTCATAAGATAAACCTAGAGATTTCAAATAGGCTTTCATAGTGTTAAAACATGTTGTCCTGTCGTGGTCCTTCTGAGCTTTTTGCAACAGAAGAACTGCTCTATATTTTTGTTGCCAAAAAACTAAGAGCTGGTATTTTATGAGAGGTACCTTAAGAAAGTTGAGAACCACTGATATAAACGTTCATATGAGAGAGAGAGAGAGATACGCACAGACAGACTCTCAGTGGTTAGGACACTTCCCTGGTTTGTGGCAGTCCTGGGTTATTTTGCTGTGGGTACAGGCAAGTCTCTCAACAGAAAACTGCATCCACAAATGCATTCTCACACAACGTTTCAGCAAGCAGGCATTTTTGAAAAGAGGAAAAAGTTTCTGTCCAACTCCTGACCATCTTCAATTCCCAGCTTTTGATCTATGCTGCCTGCCTAACGTTACGGATTCAGGCATAGTACAATAGCTTGGGTGGGAACAAATTTGAGAGGACACAAGGATCAGAATGAGAGGTTCCCACAGCTACTGGTGCTTTCTGTTGTTCTGATCCTGGTCACCGAGGTGTCTGGTGCCTCAAACAGGCATCGACTTCTAGCGGGGAAAATTTGAGCTTCTCTCTATATGACACTAAGAGCTGCATGCCCACAGCCCCACCAGGGCTCCTGGTCTGGGGAAGAGGTGGGGGAGCATTGCCCCTCTGCTCCCTTCTTCCAAACCAGTCCAGGATGGGAAGAGGGAGCAGCAGTACAAAGCCCCCACCCCTGGGCAATCCCTGATGCTCCTCTCCCCTCTGGGACTGGATTGAGAGGGGCACATGCAAGCAAAATTTTATTGCAAGGAAGATCTAGGCGTGTGGCCTGAATGGCCCTCTATAGCACACAAGGCCTATTAAATTTAGTGAGGCTCCAGAGACAACACAAGGTTATGCTAGCCCAGATTGGTTTGCAACATGGGAGCTTTCATTTTCCCTATGAGAGAACAGAAAGGTTCTATTTTAGTACAGTAACACAATCAAGAAATGGAAGTAAACATGTCTATTTTATTTGCTTGATTAGCAATATATCATATTTACTTGATTCTAAGACAAGTTCTCCCCACCCCACTTTTATGAGGCCCTCCTGAGCCAGTCAGTGGTATGGTGGTTTGAGGTTAGATCCCTAAAGAGTCCAGAATGAGTCAAGTCAAACAAAGTGAGATCAACCTAGTTAGGTTCAGAATCTTATGAAGTTGCTGAGTTTCACTGAGGCAGATAAAAGGAGCTGTAGAGGGAGAAGTATTACACTCTTTAGAAAGGTTTCTGCTCTGGGGTTTAAGGAAGTGATCTGAAGGGAGAAAAAGCTAGGCAGAGACTGCAATGACTTTAGTTTTATTTCACAGACTTCTAGTTCAACCAAAGAGGCACCCTGTCCCTTACAACTCTTCCTGTGAGGTTTTTCTCCAGATGCATAAACTCTGGTCATGTCAGGGCAACCCAGAATAAGGTTCATGTCTCTGCCTGCTCCTGTCCTGTCCAAGATCCATCAAAACCAGAGTATAATATGCTTAAACAAGTTTTGTTAGACTGCCCAAAACTCTGAGGAATAACAAATTATGAAGAGATTGTCTTGTTACAGGTTCCTTTGTTGATCCATTTAAACTGCAACTTCTTTTTATAATTGACTGGTGTTGAGCACCTAGGTGCTCAACAACAGGTAGGAATATGTGGGCTCTACTGTGGTTTGGCCACCACCCTGTGCCAATGGATCACAACCTCCTTCCTAATCCATTGATAATGTTAAACCAAGTAGGGCTTGTGTACCTTTGTGCTACTAAGCGAGTGTGCTGGACCAGGTAAAGCCCCGGTTTTCGCCATACTCTTCCCTCCCTCCACCAGCATGTATAAGCTCCATGTTGCTGCCTACATCGCTACCTAGTTTAGTTGACACAAGGCCACAATTCCCTCCTGTTAATATAAACAGACTTCTTGTTTAGAAAAGTAAAAAAAACCCCTAACCCTAGTCCGTTAATAAATGTCTGTCCAATCCATATACTTGTAAATACGTGAAAGGTTTTCAAATACAAAAGCAAGACAAGAAATCACAAAAAAGACTTTAAAAGTACTTTGCTGGCAAAATGAGATGGGCGTATCACTTACTGATCATCTGCTGGAAGCTGTCGGAACATCTCTTCCAGAACTTTTCTTTTTGGATTTGTTAAATTTTGTGTTGGAGAATTTAGTTTCGGGGACTCTGTTGGTGTCATTGTGAGGCTCTGCATCACAAAATAAAAAAAGTTGTAGTTAAGTAACACAGCCCCGACATAATCCCAGCTAACTTTTGCATGAACAGATAAATGTAGCAAAGAAATACTTAGCACCTCAAACATTAAGAAGTGCCACTGAGATCAACAGGGCATGATCCAAAAAGTCTGTGGAATTTATAGCTACACAAGCCCTGATAAACAACCTTTCTTGGTAGGAAAAAAA